AAAATTATAGATATATTTTATATATATATATATATAATATATATATAATTTTTTTACTTGTGTGTGTATGACTGTTTAGCCTGCATATATTACATGCCCATGAAAGCTAGAAGAGGGCATCAGATTCCCTGGAACTGAAGTTACAGATGGTTGTTATCCACCATGTGGGTGCTGGGAACTGAACCACGGTCCTCTGTAAGTACAGCCAGTGCTCTTAACCACTGAGCCATCTCTCCAGCCCCTTGGGTGCTTCCTCACGGGCCTTCCATGAAGGCCATGCGGGCTGACTGGAGACCTCACATTGAAGTGACGTACCCTACTAACATGCACAATACTTGGATTTTGGTGGATACTGCGGCTAGGTGTGCCTTGGTTTGTGGCCCTCCAGGGACATCAGGGAACAGGCAGCAGTGAAGAACATGGAGAAAGGACAGTACAGGTAAAAAAGACTGAATTTGTCCTAAGGCAGACAATTACTTCCTCTGAAATTACACTGCCTACGTTTCTCCCCTGTGGGACAGTATGGGGCTGGGAGCAGATGTACTGCTGAGACACGCCCTGCATACCACCTTGGAGACTTTTGCCTAAGGATATAAACTATTAAAGCAGTCTAGTATGGTTGGGGACCCTGTAAAGGGTCAGTAGTTCACCACGCTGGACTCTGAGATGAAGACGTATTTAAGTGTCCCCAGAAAAGCCATGCAGCACTCAGCCTCCTGAGGGCTGGGATTATAAGCACATGAACCATCATGTCTAGCAGCTGTACTACTCTTAAATTCACTGGTACTGTGGTCGGAACATCAGTGCTCCTGTAAGAATAACCTGTTGAAATCCTAATCTTCAAGGAAATGGAATTAAAGCAGTAAGGACTTTGAATGGGATAATTCACATTTAAAAAGATATTCTTGAGGTGGATGTGGTGATGTACACCTTTAATCCCAGCACTGGAGAGGCACAGGCAGGTGGTCTGTGTGATCAAGGCCAGCCTGGTCTACATATCAAGCTCCAGGCCAGCTAGGGTTATAGGAGACCCTGTCTCAAAAAAAAAAAAGATATTCCAGGGCTATGGATATAGCTCAGGGGTAGGCTTGCCTAGCATTATCCAAGGCCCTGAGTCTAATAATACGGCAAAAAAAGTCCCGAGAGCTGCCTACTCCCTTTCCCCACATGATGACACAAGAAAGCATGGTGTGCAAACCAGGAAGAAGGCCCTCACCACTCAATGGATCTCTTCATGCCGTGATCGTGTTCTCCTCAGCCTCTGTTGTCTACAAGCAACCTGAGTCTATTAGTTTGTGACAGCAGCCCAGATGGCCTGAGACAACTAGATTCAGGGCTTCAAGCTTTAGTCTCTGACTGATTCGAGATCTATTCCAGGGTACAAGGTGGACTTATTTTTCCCCTTTCCTAAGTTTTCTGAAGACACTTTGCTTCTATGACTATGTATAATTTTAGATTACTGAACCATCAGATAGCTCCTCGCTCTGGGCAACTGAAGAAGCTGTAGCATAACAGGTACTGAGCAGGAGTGAGTGCCGTTGGCACGCGTCTATACCGAACACACTAAAACATGGCATCTCATCCCAACTGACAGGATCATCCTTACCTTGCACGTTCTGAGCAAGTCCAAGTGTTTTCTGCACATCGCGGCAGATCTTGGAGAGGCAGTACTGGAACTCCTCGTCACAGTCGTTCTTGCTTTTGCCACAGGTCTCATAGCACCTGTCGTGTTGGTTGCAGCACTTTGTCAGGGAAGGGATGCCAATGTTAAGCTGTGGCGGCATTTGGATGAATTACTGACAGTGAGATGAAAGTTCCTCGGCATAAGGTAGTGCATTCAAGTGGGCATCATAGAAATCAATAACAACGAATGCTGTAGCCAATCTCCAAACCCATTTCTGCTTACAAGCGGTTCCCATGTTATAAATCTCCCCATGACTCTTACCAATACCCCATCCATACAACTGTCCTACCATGCCCCTCTGCTCTCTACTTTGCAATGTCAGAGTACTCACAGTTAGCTGTCAATAATCACAGTTCCTAACTGTCCAAAATACGAAACATGGCCCTATTTACTTATGGTGTGTGTGTGTGTGTGTGTGTGTGTGTGTGTGTGTGTGAGCACAGGTGTGCAGGGCAGCAGCCAAAGGAGGATGTTGGGTGTCTCCCTCTATTGCTAGGTCTCTCTGTGAACCTAAAGATCACTGTTTCAGCTAGGCTGGCTGACCAGCAAACTTCAAGAATCCACCTGTCTCTGTTCCCCAACAGGCACATGTGCCTATGCCCAGCTTTTATGTGGGTGTGGAAGATTCAAGCTCAGGTCCTCATGCTTGCACAGCAAGCACTCCTACCCACTGAGCTCCTCCCTAGGCCTCCAAACATAGATCTAAACATAAGCCAGGTGTGGTGATGCACACCTTTAATCCCAGCACTCAGGAGGCAGAGGCAGGTGGATCTCTGTGAGTTCAACTGGGTTACTGGGAGACACCCTGTTTCAAAAAAAAAAAAAAAAAAAAAAAAAAAAAAGCTAAGAGCATTAAAAGATTTCTCCAGGGCCTAGACAATTATGATTTTAGGAAATTTCAAAGTATTTTGTAGCCCTGCTTCCAAATAAATGTAGTCTATAAAATGTCACAGAAAACTTTTAAGTGCCTACAAATAGTAGGGTTTTTAACCAAAATATTTTATTTGTTATTTTTATTTTAAATGTCTGAGTGTATTGACTGCATTTATGTAAGTGCACCCATGTCATGCCATGCCTGTGGAGGTCAGAAGAGGGTGTGGGATCCTCTGGAACTGGAGTTACAGATGGTTGTTAGCTGCCATGTGGGGCTGGGAATCGAACCTCTGCAAGAGCAGCCGGTGCTCTTAACCACTGTGCCATCTCTCCAGCCCCTTGCTTTGTTTTTTTTTTGTTGTTGTTTTTTTTTAAATGAAACAGGGTTTCCCTGTAGCCCCAGCTGGCTTAGAACTTGCTATGTAGACCAGACTGACCTTAATTGTACAGAGATCTGCCTGCTTCTGCCTCCCGAGTGCCAAGATTAAAGGTATGCGCCACCACATTCAGCTCAAATAGTGGGGTTTCTTTCTTAACTTTAAGTATTGTTCCATTTTTGAGAGATACTGTTATTTTGAATCCATAACTTATCTTTAGGTTTTTTTGTTGTTCTTTTGTTTTTGTTTCTGTTTTTTGAGGAAGGGTCTATGTACCCCCCACCCCAGCCCTGAACTCGATATGGAGACCAAGCTGGCCTCTATCTCACGGAGATCTGCCTGCCTCTGCCTGCTGGGAACAAAAAGGTGTTGGCCACTACACCTGGCTAGCTGTTTTAGTGAACCCACAAAACTCCTATGCACAGGAATTATTCTCATAAATATCTTCTGTCCATAGCTACTGGTCAAGTCTAATTTTCTAAATAACAAGCACACTGCTCCCACTTAGCCTTGCTTTAATAAAGAAATCATGCCTATCTACACTTTTCCTCCTTAAGCAGTATTATATATGCATCTTAAACCTTTAAATTATGTTTGAGACATTACAAAATATTATTTATATGGTATTTACACAAGGTAAAAAATAAATCATTAATTTTAATCCCATTTAACATTACTTGCTAAGTGTGTGTTTTGCCAGAAAATACTATAATAAACACAAACATCATTACAATGAGCAAAATTATACGTGAACCCAAGGATGCACTAAGTCTTGCATTATTAAAAGTATTACTCAAACTAATGGTCATAAAACTTATCAAAGAATAAGAAACAGTATTTACATGGACACCAAACAATGGAGAGCCACATCCATTTGGTGGGGACGGTTTATATCCATAGCGTGGAAAAGGCTTCGATCCTATGCAAAATATAAATAATATCATATTTAATTTTAAAATATGAAGGAAAATGTTCATACTCGCAAAGGTACACAATGTGCTAGCCTAGCCTTGGGAATACTGGACACCAGCATTAATGAGTATTCTGATGAGTACTAGAATGCTAGTTTATGTAATTAATTATGTCTCTTGTGGTGAAGAGTGTGGAACACATCCAATGTGAACATACATACACAAACACACAGCACTTCATATAGTGCAATTACTATTCATAAGCCTAAGCTGTTCAGAACATATACAAGCTCATCCTATACCACTAGTGATTTCAAAGGTGCATATAAGATTGCATCACGTGTTTGAAAGATAACCCACCGTGCATTCCTGTGCATCTTAAGGTTTGAGATTTTTAGGGGCTATGAGTAATTGGTTGCATCTTCCTAACTTGTCAGCAAATGTTCCACCCCCGCAAAAATTCAATAACCATCAATTAACAGGTGTTTCAGCTAGGAAGACATAGTTATTCAGTAATAATCTAATTACTTTAATACCATTACAAAGCATTATCAGATCACACATTCTGCCCCCAAACCCTCCAGCCAATTGTTCATGAATACAGATCATGAAAAGAGTCATGGTGCACCAGGTAAACTGTATTAACTCCGGCTGTGCTGTGCTGTCTAGTAGCATGCAGCACAGAGGAAGATGACACAATCACAGCAATCTCAAACCATGAGAAACGCTTTAGAAACAGCTTACCTCATGTAATACAGAAATCACTTCAACACACCAGACAGACACAAACGATCTCTCTGGCTGTTTTCTATAGTCCTCCTACATCAACAAATAACCTATTCCACCGTGGAATGGTACCAGTTAGGGAGATGTTCTTTTTTCTGTTTCCTGATCAATTCTACTGATAAGCAATACTCAGTTCCATAAGACAAAATAAGCCAATTCCTTACATGATAATCCTTTCAAACAACTGGAGCTACCATTTTTCTGTGTGTGCATATGTGCATGCATGCGTGGTGTGTGGTGTGTGTGCATATATGCACTCAATGGAGACTAACCCCTGGTGTCGTTCATCACTCATCCCCACCTTGTTTTTGAGGCAGAGTCTCTCACTGGCCTGAAGTTACCAAGTAGGTGAGGCTGCCTGGCTAGCAAGCCCTAGGGATTGGCCTGTCTGCACCTCCCCATTGCTGGGATTATAGCCGTGATTAGTTTTTTTTTTTTTTTTTTTTCTTTTTGAGATAAACTGCTGGGATTAAAGGTGTGCGCCACCACGCCCAGCATGTCCCCTTTCTTCTATGGGCTCTAGGTCTTCACGATCATAAGACAGGCACATTCTTGATGGAGCTATCCCCAGCTCCTTACCATCTGTCTTCATTCCAAAAATGAAACATACTCAGTTATTTCAGCCATAAAACATGATATCATTTTCAAATGCCACCCCATAGTTGAATACTTAAGAGACACAAAGTACTCCAACTTTCTTTCAACTAAGAATGTTGGGGGACTTAATGATAAGGTTACCCCCAGAAGTCAAGTAAGGAGGGAAAAGAACAACTCTTTAGTAGCAAGCCACGAAAACAAGTAACTGACTCTAATAATGGTAAAAAATGGTTTCCTAGTTTCATGCTCAACTGAGGTAACCAAGAAGCTGCAACAGAATATAGCTCACGAGAGCCAGTGCTACGGCCTGCTTTATCCATTCTGAAGGAGAAACAAGGACAAAAGGCAATCGTCAAGATGAGTGGAGAAGGAGGGGCAAGAACTGGCTCTGGTCTCCCAGCACTAAGAAGGGTTGGTTCTGCCCACCCAGGCTGTCACGGCCACTTCGACTCCTCCCTCTTGCCTTTCATCCTTAATTCCCAAGAAAATTGTTTATCATCTGGTTTCCCCCTTGCCAGAGCCTGGGGAAGAATATCTGTCCGCCACTTGGGTGTCCACTGGGGTTAAGATGTCCTCCCTGACTCTCATCCCAAACTCACTCCAACCTGTTCTCAGTCAGTGGTGACTCTTATCTTTCCAGATGCTCAGAGCAAAAATCGCAGCCATTCTTGACTATTTTATTAGAGCTTACATTCTGTTCAACAACCTGTCCTGTTGACTGTGTCTTTAAAATATTAAGAATCTAACTACTTCCCAAAACATCCACTGCTACCATTCTGCTCTAAGAAACCATGGATTACAGCCATAAACTCCTAACAAGCCTCATTTTTTTTTCTCTCAGTCCACATCACTTCCAGCCATAGTTAATTTCAACAATGACACTGAGTGATTCGCTAAATTATATATTATACCAAGTGTTCTACAGTACAAAACCCCTCAGTCACATCATTTTCAATAAAACCAAAAGTCTGTAAGTCCTTTAAGACCCCCTATAATCTGAGCTTGCCATGACTTCTCTGAACCAATGCTCCCTCCCATGCATTATAGACATTGCAAGTCTGCTCCTGCCTATGGGTCTTTGGACTGCTGTCCCATGTGGATGTTCTTCCTCATCTTGTATCACACAGCAGTGCCTTCATTGTTATAATCTTATTATTAGTGCCCCTGACAATTCGTGTATGTTGACACTAATTACCAGGGTGACAGACAGTATTAGGAGGCAGGATCCCTGGAATGTGATTAGTGTCCGAGGGCAGACTTGCTGGCACTGTCCTCAGATGAGACAGGGCATCACATGGCCAGAGCTAGAAGCCAGCCAAACAGGCTTTTATTGCACATTTAGTCTTAAGATAACTCATTAATTACAAAAATGGACTGATCAATTCATGAGGACAGAGCCCTCCATGTCTCTCAAAGATCTCACCTCTTAATAGCGCATCTTTTAACAGAAATTACATTTTAACACAAGTTTGGGGGAGGAGGAGCCATACTCAAACTATAGCAGGGAAAGAGGCTCAATTAGCAATTCTGGGAAGCCCATTTAAATATTGCTGTAAGTGTCGTTAACTGCTGCTGAACATTAAAAAAAATAGCATTTATATTGGTGCCAGCTTTTACAAAGCAATCATAAACTCAATAATGGAAGGAACATATTAGAGTCAAGCAATAACACAATGATGTACTGTAGCCATCATTCCCCAGATTTTATAAGCAGATACAACAGAAAACTGAAAAAAGGAAATGGGAGGGAGAACTAAAGACACACCAGTGAAAGTCACTGACACAGCTATGTGGAGAAATACCAACTTCCTTTTGACATGGCAGGCACTTCTTAATGTTTTACCATCTATCTCCCTCCACAGCATGGGCTGACAGGACAAACAGAAGCAGAAGCCTAACCTGCTTCCTAGGCGGTTGAGATTTTAACATTCACCTCCAGGTGGCTCTGAGGCTATTCCCCTCATCCACTCACTTTCCTACTTTCCTCAAATCTCCCAACATCTTCATTCTCATGAATTCTTGAAGCGGGTGACCTTTATTCCTTCTTCACTGAGAAAAAAGGCAATCAGAACTTGAATACCCACCCACCCACTGGACAACTGTGCCTACCTCCTGCCTTCAGTCTATTCACGGGAGCTGTCGGCACCTGGCCTGTTCTTTACGTACTGGAATCCACACTTCTCACTTACTGAATGTGACTCTGGTACCCCACCTTTCCCTCAGCAGGGTTCCCACTCTCCACCCCATCACTCTCAAGAGCACACAGGTACGCTAATTTTTCATTATGCTCCAAAGCTCTTCTTTCCGTAGCCTTCCTCCTTTCAGTTAATGGCAATTCCATCTTTGCAGATGATCTCACCAAAAACTCTGGTATCATTTTTTGCCTTGCTCATAATCTACTTCCAAGCCAATAGCAAATCCTTTAAAATATACCCCAAGTCCAACCATCTCTCATCACTTCATTGCTATCAACTTGCCTTTTGTCTGGACTCCTGCACACAGCACCATCTCCATCCTGGCTTCCTTACCTCCTGGCTCTTAATTCTTAGTACAGCACTTGCATGATAGTGTGTGTGTGTGTGTGTGTGTGTGTGTGTGTGTGTGTGTATAATGTCACCAAATGAATGAACAACTTATCCAAAATTCTAAACATTTTAGGAGCCAATTTTTCTCTAAATTTTCATCAGAAATGTAAAAGAATTTTTTTCCTTAAATCTCCTCTGATGTTAGGGAGAAAAAAAATGTAAGGGCTGTGGGAGATGGCTCAGTGGCTAAGAGTGCTTGTTTTGCAATGATGAGTAAGGCCTGATTTTGAGTCCCCAGCACCCAGGTAAATAGACATGGGTGTATGTCCATGTAACCTTCTTGTTGGGGTCAGAGACAGGCAAGTCCCGGGAGCTCACTGGCTCCCAGCCTAGCCAAATCAGTGAGCTTCACTTTCAGTGAGACAGTCTGTCTGAAGGAAATAAGGCAGAGAGATAAAGATACTCAACATCTTCCTTTGCCTTCACAGCCAAAAATTTAAGAAAAAATGGCAAATGGCAAATTTGTTCCCACAAGTAATTTTACCTAACTGTCACTAAGGCCATTTCCATCTAGAGAGGATGACCAAAAGGAAACAAGTTTCCATAACATTAATCTCAAGATTCAGCAAGAACTGCTGAATCTAACAAGTTTGTGCTTTTTCACCCTCTGCCTCCTAAAAGGAGAGGGCACAGAAAACCCCTGGTGGGTCGTAAACCGTCATTCCGGCAGATGGGCCTTATCAGAGAATCATTTGCCCGTTTAGAAACTATGGCTCCAGAACACATCACCCCAACAATAGTGATTCCTGTGCCGCACACAGGTCTTCCTGCCCTGGGCCTAGACCCTGTACAAGCAGCAACCCACATATCTATCTCCACATAGAACATAAACCCTCCTGCCACTTGTACTGGTGTGGTTGCTGTGCTGATGCCTGCTGGTCAGCTTCTACTCTTCGTTGACTAATAAACATCAATCTAGATTTCTGAGGCCTGTGCCGCCTTTCCGCTCCTATCTCTAACATGTTGGTCCCCAGCCAAAACCCAGGAGGATCTTCTAAACAAGATGCTGTCTCTAATACTGCTTCTCTCCTTTACATCTC